GAAGTTCTCCTTATGTTTTGGTTTTGTCTGTCTGTCTGTTCGCCTGTTCCTCGTCTAACTCGAGAACGCTAAGACATAGCGATGTCAAACCTTCTCCAATCAATTTTTACGAGTTCAAGGATCAGTGCTATTGAATATGAGCAGCATTAAAAGTTGCGTTTCGATTCCCCTACTGCAAATCGTATCTTGTTTTTCTTTTGGAGCTCGGATTGCACGGAACCCTGGATTGGTCTCCAGCCCTTAAAGGCCCTGCCTAAATCCGCCTCTCACAGACAGACCGGCAAACCGATTTCATCGAGATTTTGTTTGATTCGGATTCCTGGTTCTTCAAAATGTGTATTTCCGTCAACAAATTGGGGACTCATTTTTTATCCCCATACAAAACATCCCTGCTAACGTCCGGGTGGTAAAAATGATCTTTTTCATTTTCGACTTTTCGTTTACCAATTTTGGAATATTTCTTGCCGACAGTTATTAATTATGAAGTCACAGTAAGAATATTGATTCAGCAGATGTTAGGAATTTTTTTTGTTTTCGTTGCGACAATGGATCTCAGAGCAGCAATGATGTAGGTTCTATTGTTAAAATTAGAAGAGCATTGAGAACGTGAAAAGAAAGCTAGTAAAGAGAAACAGAGATAAAATCAACAATTTTGGGGTCTATAAAAGAAGAAAGAAGTGACTATTACTATTGAATAAAAAATAGTGTTTTTATTCAATGCTATTACCGAGAAATTCACCAGAGAATATCTGGTGTGAGAGATTCCACCCTGTATGTAGGACCTACGACGATGCACACATTTTTGAGAACAGGCAACCGCCCTCTGCGCCATCTGCAGAGTACCACCAACTCGGGTTACGTTTTTGGCATCTTCCTAATAGCTATCAATCACAAAAGCATCGCTCCGTAAATGTGTGTTGTTATTTTGTGTTAGGTAGTATTGTTTGCATTTATTTGTATGCAGCATTTTATGTTTTTTGTGGGTTTCAATCTTTGATTTTGAGGTCTACTTGATTTATCCTCTATGCAGATTCATGTGTTTGATGCCGTTAACCTTTAGTTTGATATGGTGTTCATTTTTGGTATAATGCTTGCTAAATTTTTGTTTCGATTACATGGTCTTGATCTTTTCGATCATTATTTGAACATGTGGAAATTATGAATATGTTGGGTGTGTGTATGTGTACTGACTTGTTGTTTGTAAACTAACATTTTCGCCATGAAGAGCCGGTCACAGAGGTGGTAAAAAACTGTAACCAAATGACTTACGACACCCAATACTGGGACTGCTCCCGCTTCTTTAAATCTGTGCTAACATATCTCAATTTCTATAAGGGATTCAAAATATGCAAAAAGTTCCAAATATGCCTAGCGGTTTTACAAAAAAAAATCGGTGTAAGAAATGTTATGAAAAATCTACTATAATGCAGCTGAAATAAATGAAATAGTCTATCGATTAAATTACTCGATGCACTCCATAACTTATAAAATCAATTTTTGAATCGCCACAAAAGTATAGAAGAAATGTCAAAGAAATTTCTACTTTAAGTTTAACAGATCCACTTGTGCGGTAGGGGCCTATTCGAGCTTTTTCAATAGAAATGGATAGGTTAGCCACTGAAGAAATAGTAGGTATATTATGCAATGAGCATTTAATGATGGCTTTTAAGACACGAGTATGAGAATTACGAAACGAGCCATTCAATACGAGTTTCATACACTATCGAAATGACAATCATTTAAGTACAGGTAGCCAATGTCATCAGCATAGGAGTAGAAAAACGCGCTTTTACGTGATACAATTTTAAACTAGGAAACTGACAGATCTCCTGTTTCCTGTCATCTCCTTCACTTCCACAAGTCACCGTATTCCACTGTGGGCCATTAAAAAATATTGTATTGTAGACATCTTTATGAAATAAACATGTCGTCTATGCATCACGATGCATTTTCCGATGTGCAAAAGTTTTTATTTTCTCTACTAGTGGCATCCGTACGACATTTGCATTGAATATTTTTGAAGAAAAAAATACTACGCCACTGCTTTCCCTTAAAATAAAAATTATTTTTAAAATGTTCATTCATTTTTGAGCAAATTTGATCTTCTGGTTTTTCTTTGTCAGACGTATGGTTTTACACTTTAAAAAATAAAAGTCGTTTTACTTCAGGATCAATTCCCTAAAAATAAGCGAACCCTGAGAAAAACCAGAATATCAAATTTGCAGTTTATTTCATTTCATTTTTTAGTCGTGGGCCGTTATACCAACCTCATTCTCAACATGACCAAGGGTGGATTTGGTGCTGGCCAATCATACCTAGAGTTTTTGTTTAAATTTTTAAGCGATTGATTTTGTAAAGACCAAATTATACACTTTCACATGGAAGAACTGACATACCAGTGAAAATATCCAAGACATCACAAGTACCTTTTCTGAATAAAAGAACAAATATGCGCAAAAATGTGAAAAAACGGTTTGTCGAAATAGCAAGTCATTAGAACGTCTACATCTAAATAAAAATGCTTAAAAAGTACAGCCGTAATAACTGTCATCTATAACGCGAAATCGCGAGAAGAAAAATCATTTCCTCCTCGCATAATTGCCGTTATTTTTCACGATCATTTTCAGGTGGCAATGCATATACATAGAGATTGGTATTAAAATAGCCGGTGGCGGTCGCGATTTCTCTTTCACACGCCCACGACGTTCGGGAGATTTAATTTTTATGTCAGTTTAATGAAGATTAACCGCTCAAAACTGTTAAAGTACTCGAAAATGAAGGCCCCCCCCCCATCTTGAGACTTTATCAGTTTGGGAAAACATACCGACCAAACTTTCGCATCATCAGACGTCACGTAAATGCATCGTTTATCAAAATGAAAATATTTGTTTGTCTCTCTGTAATCGTAAAGATGAGAACGGAGGAGGAAGTTTAGCGTGGGTAAAACAAATATTAATATGGACCAAGTGTGTGGTGCCCAACCCGCCTCGTGACTCACGGAAATTTTTAGCTTTGCTTTCGTAATCGTTAACGTTCGAAAAATTTCTGATTTGAAAAATTAGATCGGCATCGTTACAAGTCCAGGTGGGCAATAAGTACACAAAAATTATTGCCAAGTGCAACAGTGATTAACCTTTTCTCAGGCTAAAATGATACTTTTGACTTAGAGCTTCGGAAACCAGCATAATTCAAAGTAGCGTTTTGTATGTTAACTTGTCATTTCGAAAGCATCCACCGTTTAATTAAACCGTTCGGTTACACTTAATTAACATGGACTTTTAAGTGTATTGGTAGTCCTTGTCGGGAGTGTATTGCAATTAATTATTGTACAGAGACGTATCCATTTTTTCATCGACCACCTTCTTTTCAGGAAGTTTGAGTTTAGTTAATTTTCGTGGACTTCTTTGCAGGGGCGGACTGGGTACTTACGGGCCAGGTGGAATTGCATAGGTTACGGGCCATTAAAGTAATGAAGATTGGGGCGGGGGGTTCTGCGGTGCACCACAAAACATTTTTTGCTTCATTTTAAAGTATTCCTTTCTCGAAAATCAATTAGAATATAGTTTTTTTAAATTGCAACTGATAATTAAAAGTAACAAAATATACAAACGAGGCGAGTCGCCTATAATTGTGTTTCAGCACTTTCAAAATACGAGAAAAAATGATAAATTCATTGTAAAACACTTGAATAAAAACAGAATTTTTTAATGAACAACCTAACATCAACCCCAATGAGAGAAACGTCTTAGTAATTTATGAATAGCGCAAGAAGCTAAATACAGCACATACTTATAAATTTCCAACGGGCCAATATAACCTACAGGCCAGGTGGCAATCGCCACCCGCCCCCCCGGGCCAGTCCACCCCTGCTTCTTTGGACTTCTACGCACCACAATTAACAAGAAAAAGTGATTTCCCGAGAAATTTTGGTGCAGTAGATTTTTGGTAAAAAAGGAAGGTTATACACTGCCTTTTTTTGAGGCCCTCAAAAAAAATTTTCTCAGATCGGCACGGAAAAAAATTTTTCTTATAGAATGTGGCCTGTAGAATCCATAATTTCAAACAGTTCAAAGATTGGGCTACTAGTTCAAAAGTTACAGCCCTTTGAATTTTTTTTCGAAATTGGTTTCTAGTCTATAACTTTTGATTGAGAAGTCTGATCGAAAAAGTCCGAATTGTTTTGGATTCTACGCACCAAAATTAATAAGAAAAAGTGTTTTCCCGAGAAATTTTGGTGCAGTCGATTTTTGTTAAAAAAGGAAGGTTATACACTGCCTTTTTTTGAGGCCCTCAAAAAAAATTGTCTCAGATCGACCCGGAAATTAGTCGACTATCTTTGCCCTTTACTTATTTATTTCGAATGTTTTTATGGATCTTGCACAGTTCTTTCGACTTCTTTTGCCTTTCATTTTATTCGCAAGCATCTCCTGCGCCCTGTTCTCTATCAATTTTAGGATTCTGTGAGCATGAACAGAATGACGCTGGGCAGCTCATTAATAGAAACTAGTACTGAGAAGCTTTCATTGTTTTTCACTCTCATTCGTCGCGTCGGCGAGACAGGAAGTTTGCAATAAAGGCTATAAGATTGCCCGGAAAAGGGACATCATGATCATGCTGATATCAGTGGTCCAGGTTGTTTCGTAGACCTATATCCACAGGGACCATGTGCAGGTGATCTGAGTTATGTGGATAGTGTGAACATCAAAATTGACACCCCCAAAGTGGAAGCGTGTCTCGCATTATAATCGTGGGTTCTACGTTAAAAAGTATATGGCACTTCTGTATTGAAAATAACACTTCTTCTTCGAACAGTTGCCTTGATACCATGTATTTTGAATTAAAAACATGCTTTCAGAAACTAAGACGTGAAGAATAAAATAAAAGAAAGAAAGTGTAATTAAAATTATGAATTAAACGATCCTTGAACGAAAGTAAAAATTTAGCACATGACAATTAACGATGGTAAACTTCAAGCATGCACATCGTAGGTGTATAACGGAAGCGTTTTGATACTCGCGAAAGTACGGTTACATTTAATTTACATACACATTAAGATTTTGAAAGTGAACACCGGGGAATATTCTTTTCGATGCCCTCAAAGAGATTGACCTTTACCCCACCCGCACCTGCATTCACAGGTGTCCTTAGGAGCACCACCTGAGTACTGATTCAATGATTATTTCTGAAGATTAATAACCGTCTTGTTCACGATGCCCATACCGGAAAAAAAATCAAGCACAACACAGGTGTTTGGTATATTTATGTTGTCGAGATTTTAACTTTATGGGCAACGCTCCCATTTTCCTATCGCAGTCAGGTTTTGTGTTTTTTTTTCGATGCTCACGGGATTTTTGCATTTTGCTATTGTATTAAGGTCATTTGTACGTACCTTGTAACTATTTTTATTTAAATTAAATTACCTGATACCTTGTAATATACAAAGTGCAGGTGTTTCTGGTTGATGTAAAAGGTTAAACTCATTGCCAAAACCGCGGCGTGATTGCGGTACCTTTTCGCGAAGTTAACTTCGAGAAAATATACATATTTTGCTGCGAGACATTTACGGCGTATTGTTTTCGTTCGGATAATGGATCTTACATGCCTAGTTCATGTCAAAATTAAGTTGTAAACGTCGTATGCCCATTAACTTTCCAATGTTCTTAGATTAAAATGAAATTTATGGTTCGATTTTTGATAACGCAACAATTATTAAGGTAATTTAGATTGTACTGCGCGTTTTTATGGCGTGTTCGAAAAGTGGAACAATCGTATATGTGTGATTGCTCGGTTACCTACACAGTAAGGTGTTACTGAGGGAATTTTAGATGGAAGTTGCTTGTTCCAGATAGCTTTATCTCGTTATGTAGGTAACCCTCTCTTGTCATTTCGCTCATTTGACGGCAAATGTCAAAGACAACATAAAGAAAACCAAGATTAGGTAAATATCGTTCCTGGAAACTCACCACCGTGAAACTTTGGGATTCCAGTTTGACCATTCACAGATGATTTTAAGAGATTAATTATTATTAATCATGGATTATATCCCTACACCCCAGAAGCACAATAAATGAAAGCAAAACAATGGTGAAGTCAACCAACGGTCCAAGTACTCAAAGGCCGTTCACTGGGATGGAAATGTGATAGCTTCGGATTTTGGGTGACAAATGACTTTTGCTAATCGATATTTACATCTTTAGATAAACTCAAATGTCGTATGCAAAAGTTATGCACGTTTTACTTTCAGAAACCGCCCCTCGAAAGTCGTCTGGCACACCTTCAAGATATAAGCTACCTATTGTAAAAAATTTCAGGACTCTAGGAAATTCACAATTAAATTCATTTACTCCAATTTAGTGAGAAAATATAGGCGCCAAGCTTACTAATTCGATGCAAGCTTCTTGTGGAAGTTGAATTGAACTAAAGAATAAATGTTTATGAACTAAGTTTCTTTACCAAAGGTACATTAATTCCTTCTAACTTTTGCTTAATGTTTTTTTATTTTCTCTAAATGCGAGAACTGATGTTTCTCTAGGATTACGTTCTTAAACGCGGAATTACACTCCCATTAATTCACTCGCGGTACAGTAACTTAATGCGAAAGTTTTTTATGTATTTATTTTGGATAACGGAAAACTATTTCCATGATTTCTAACCGGCGCGTCTTGGATCTATACTTAGTCCGTTAATTCGTTGTTTGGGAGTCCGATCGCGAATCTTTTTTCCTTCCAATATGTTTAAAAATCGCCGAAATCTGTTGTCTTGGTCGTAGTTACGATGCAAATTTATTCAAATTTTCCAGATCGTAAAACCCGTAAAACGAATTACTTTTAATTTTGTCACGCACTTTTCGACTCGGTGATCTTAACGCTAATCATCTCAAAATTCTCCAAAACCAAAACCCACTATTCCTTATCAATTAACCACACCTACAAAATGGTTTCTTGTTAACCAAGGTTGGGCATATTTAATTGCTCATTCGTCAATCTAATTCCGCCCTGCTAATAAAAAATGATTTTACTAATCCCAAGATACCGTACGCTATCACAGCGAGTTAACATCGTAACGAGATCTAATTAAAAACATGAAACATGATGTAAAGCCCACACTTTCTGTCTCTATTGGCTTCCTAAAGTAATTAAGAAACAAAGTCCCATAGAAAAATAAATACGTATTTATCTGGAAAATCCCACCCCTAAATTTGGGCAAACTGGTAAAATCTCGATAATGTGCTATGTATAAATTACTCAAATTTCAAAAACTCTAACTTTATATACCTTCACAACAAAAATTAAAGGCAAATTTATAAGTACCGTTACTTTTGACACTTAAAGTGTCAATCCAAATTAAATTAGCCACAATATCAGTGAAAACCTCACTTTGATATCTGTTTCCTAAGAGATATGGATGAAACACGCACATTCCCAAATTTAAGTTGCACTATTTATATTCTGGCTTTGAAACAAAAGAACACACAACAAGTGATAATTAAAATTAACGCTCAATATAAGTTTTTAATTTACGAACAAGAAATTATTGAATCCTTAAATCAGAAATAATAAAAGAAAGTATTCCCTGTGGGTTCGGGGATAGAATTGGCCCACTCCCGCCCTGGAGATCGTAAAAGGCGATCAATGAGCAGGGGAGACGACGAGTCCAATCGCCCCCCCCCCCCTTGAACAGTATCCTTTCCTCACCTTCCTTTTCCCACACAATCCCGTGTATCCTTCCTAATTCATTCCGCTGGCAGACGATTTAAATTGATTATGGATTACGACGAAATAAACTTCTTAGGGGTTCGGATTGTCTCCAGGGGCGGCAGGGAGCGAGGTGGGCCTCACCAGGTCGAGATCCAGCGACTGTTCTGTGCTTGTGATGGGAGAGCAGACCACATCACCTGTTCGACCTACTGGAATAGACCCACGCAATGACTATGGCAATTCCAAAGGCTATGCACAACCACGACTGGTGCGGATCGGGATTTTACGACTGTCAGTCCCTTCTTAATAGGTAAAACTTTACATGGGTTAGTGGGCCATCTTAAAGATGTAAAAAAATGATAGGTGAGTTACTTGTGGACACACTGTATCTAACAAACAGTCGAAACTTATCGAAGTATCAGATTTTCGGTGGTTTTGAAATTGAGGTTGTACCCCACGGTGCTCTCAATATGTGGAAGCGGAAGCGTGCTGTTTTTTGTAGGGACCTACTAAACTGTTTGTTGTAGATAACCGCGTTTGATCCCTTAATGGAGCACACCTACGTTCACAATCCCCTGAGATGCTTTCAGTGTCAAGGGTTCGGGCACTCTACTGTTAATTGTAAATAGGAGAAAAGATGCGTGTGTGGAAAACCACCTGTAACACCGACCCAGGTACCGGTACAATATTTTGTATCTGAAATACGAAAAATTATTAAGCATGAAATGGAACAACAGCGATCCATATTTCAAATTCCTGTACCTTTGATGGATATTGAAACACATGGCAACAGGAAGACATTTCGAACATCTTTAAAGCTTTATTGTTCATAAATGATAAAAAATATACGAAATCGTTTCAAGCAAAATTTGTTTCTTTTAAAAAGACCTTTCTAATGACACCTCACTTTTATTTAAAATTACAAAGTTGGTAACTTCCGGAAACTGAAAAGATCAAAATTGGTTTCTCCATATAGTTTTTAGTTATTCATATTTTTATTTCAACTCAAAAAGACGATTCGTGTAAAATCTGTTACACGAAGAGAGCTCTTTTCAACACGACCAATTATGTGAAAATCGGTTAACCCAAACCGAAGTTACAACTAACTCCTTAAAGAGATGTTCCCCTTCCCCCACCCCCTCATATTTTATGAGCTAGAACCACATGTGCTGCATTAAAATAATGCAAAATTCCTACAACATTGCGATCCATGCATTTTTATGCATATTTGTTGGGTATGTTTTACGAAAAAAATCATACGCCCTCTAGCGACAAACGTAGAAACTTAAAAATAATTTCCAGCGATTTCTTTTGGCCTGTGACTTTTATTAATAGCCGTACACCTGTACACTTGAGCGCCGGGTAGAATTAACTAGGCTTTCATTAATCATTTGATATAAAACCCATTCAAATCTGTCGAACGGTCTAGCTACTTTTCTTGTAAATATTCAACTTTGAAGATAAAGATAATGGCCACGTTCAAAGAATGGGCACTGAATTTCGTTTTAATGGAATAATTTCCTAATGGTTTGTCTATAATTTATTGTCATTTTACACCATTCAATTCTGATTCGATAATTTCCCCATTGATAATTTCGTAACCAATAAAAACATGAAGAAATGGTGTGGTGCACCTTTCTCACTAGATCGTAAAAACGATATGCCAAATTTACTACGCGAAAAATTAGCGAAGCTGTTGGTGTAATGTAATCTGTCTTTACCTATGAATAAATCTGCATTCGATTATTAAGATGTTCACCACGCCACATTAAGTTTCGTCATTAAAACCTTAATTCTAGATGAAATTCCAATCACCTTCTCGAGTAGGTATCACTTTAATGTTTTTATTATTAAGTTGACTTGCAGTTAAACCGTTTGATTAGAAAACTCGCTCGCAACGTCATAAAATGGCGTAGAACTTTTTAATTAAGGTCGTCTTGCCGCCAATCTTTGCGCAACTAAGATCATTACAAATAATCTCAGAAGAATTTTAATTAAGTAAAATGCTGTAAATACGAATTTTCTTTAATTTAATTAATAATCCAATCAAGATAATTAGCACCTATCACAACTTTTCATGGAAGTAAAACTCGTTGGCTAATGATAGTTGTCCTAGTTTTTGGGGAAGATGGATTCATAGAATTGCCCATCACCCACTCCGTCATATTAGACGCCGTACAATAAATAACATACAAAAGTTTGTAATTAATTTGAATAATTTATACGTTCAAGCTAATGGTAAGGCAATTCCTGCATAACAAAGCACTTTGTATGCTAATTTGTATAAAATGCAATGATTGATTGTTAACTGGACAATTCAATTATTAAATGTTGGCTATGAGAAATTTTAATTTGGTTTTATTCGATATTAAACCGATAATGGACTGTGGACAATGCATTAGCATAGTTGTGAAGTAATTTATTGGAGAATCCTTTTGTTTGCTGTATCAACGAGAACTACATTTGATTCTAAAGATTCAAAGCTGCCTACTAGAGCGCATTTTCCAATTTTATGAGTGGTCCGTAAAGCTGGAAGGGAAATTAATTATTTCAAAACTTTGTAATTAGGGGTTAAATGAATATGAAAAAAACAACAGCTACCGGTAGAACTTGGAGCAGTTTAGACCCTTAGAAAATTTTATAACAACATAGCCAAACATTCAGAATTGTTTAAAACACAAAATTCTCAGGCAACAGAACTTGCATGTATCAATGGTTTAATCGAGGTGGGCACACAAAACGATTAGAATTTGCAAGGTTGTATGAAAGATGACAATGTGACAATGAAAAACTTACCATAAACTTGTCATAAAAAATTAAGGAAGAAACATCGATTTCATGTAACTTTCCATCTTGGTACCATCTAAAGCTTCCTCTGCATTTCAACAATGCGGTGCAATGCAAGCGAACAAGAAAATTTCGAAGGGGCGTTAAAATCTCCAATACATTACCTTAATAATTGTTGTCTTGCAAAAAATGGTACCATAAATAACAATTTTTTTTTTGGTTCTACGGGACAAAATCTGTTCAGAAAATTAGTCTCGACAAGTTCTTTCTTGTTCGGTTTGGGAGCAAGTTTTTTATACGTTTTGCTTTATTATAAAACCGTTTTTTTTTGCCTATAACTTGTGCTGTAGTCATTGGATCGTGACAAATTTAACTCTATTTGATTTTAGAGGACAACTCATCTATTAATAAAACTTTGTTTCGATGTTGGAGGTAAAGCACTTTTTTTTATTAAAAAATTGTTTTGGTTAACCTTTGATATAGTTATTAGATTGTGATAAATTAAACTTTAGTTCATTCTGCAGGTCAAATAATGTACTAAGTCCGTTTTCGTTCGATTTTGGCGGTAAAGCTCACTTTTCTTTGTAGTTCAAATTTTGGAGACAAGACTACACACTGTTTTCCTTCCAACCTTCCAAAGGCGCCTAAAAATATACCCTCTGATCGTTTTTATATTACATATTTTGTAAAAAAAAATTCGGTTACGCTTTTATTTATGACAGCCATTTTAAGAATTATTGATGGAAAATTATAGTTGATAATTAGGGAATGTAATCCCGCAGCAAAATCTCAATCCCGGTATTTGCGGGATTGGTAGATGTTAATCCCGCGGGATCCCGGTATTTGCGGGATCCCGCAAAACTTTAAATAAATTGCCAAATAAGCAATTCTGTGCGGTTAACTTCTGTATTAAAATAAATCGCTAATTATCACAATATTCAACAAAAAAGTACCTTCAGCCTAACTTAGAGCTCAAAAAAACCTCACCTGTAAAGCACAAAAAGGTGAACTTCTAAAGTGCATCAAAAATCATAGTACATACATTTTAACGAAAAAAGTTTAACAATTATTTAAAAAATAACTTCTCCGTTATGCGTTTCATTAACGAAGTAAACAGAGTAGTCCCCTTGGTCGACAAATTCCTCAGTCCCGCAAATCCCGCGGGATCCCGCTCCATTTATGTGCGGGATTAAACCCGCAAAAATGCTGCGGGATCCCGGTATTTCGGGATCCCGCGATCCCGGTATTGCATTCCCTAGTCTCAGATCCACCGTTATTCTTATAGAATGTGGCCTGTAGAATCCATAATTTCAAACAGTTCCAAGATTGGGCTACTAGTTCAAAAGTTACAGCCTTTTGAATTTTCTTTCGAAATTGGTTTCTAGGCTACAACTTTTGATTGAGAAGTCTAATCGAAAAAGTACGAATTGTTTTGGATTCTACGCACCAAAATTAATACGAAAAAGTGTTTTCCCGAGAAATTTTGGTGCAGTCGAAAAAAAAATTGTCTCAGATCGCAATGCTGCGGGATTCCGGTATTTCGGGATCCCGCGATCCCGGTATTGCATTCCTTATTGATAATATTTGAACCCTAGAAAAATTCCTGAAGAGAAGAGGTGAGAAGTGGATAATGTAAAAACTAAAAAGTTTTGCCATTTTGGCGTCAGATAAAGTTGTTTGATTGAATTACGTCGACCCGCAGATTCGTCAACACTCTCGAGGCTCTTGCACCGTCCACAAAGCCCTCGAAAGTCTTTTTCTGGTCTTTTAGTATATTAATCTTCGCAGTTTTCTGATGCTTCTTATGTTTACTTGTTTTCATTTTCCTCAACGATCTTTGACTCAAACGACTTCTTCAATCGGTTTCGCATATGCTCCAAACAAATCGTATCTTTGATTTTCTAAACGTCTTCAATTCTCCCTCTGATACAAATTTATCCGGTTTTAATTAAGTACCCGTCCGTTGCCTCACTCAAACAATTCACCACAAAAATGAAAGTACCTAGCACAGAAGATTGATTGCGGAATGATGAATCTTCAACCGGATTTCCTAGGTTTTCTGCGTCACCACATATCTAAGTCAACTTTAATAATAAGAAAGATGTTTGGAAATTATGAATAATTCAGGGGACCAAGCCAGGCGCATACAATAAAGTTTAATGTTGCAGTAAAAATGATGACGCAACAATCGTGTACCTGAATCGATATAAATTGCCTTGATCTATGTCGGATGAAAGTTATGAATTCTTAAGATCGTTTGTCTATTGTTGATCACAAACTTTCTAAACCATTAAATGTCACTTTAGGGAATGGTTGCGAATAAAAAATGAGTAACTTTAGTGCATTGTTCTTGAAAGTTTGATACGTTGGCATGCTACTCGCTACATTGGGAACTCGATAACAACAAAACGAACTGAAAAGGCTCCGCTTATAATTAGCAAAGGTCGCGGAAAGCGCCGCGAGGTGTGCAGGTGTTCCATAGACGCGAGGGCGCCCTCAACATCTGCATTCCGCGATTCGGTCCACCTGCAATAATCTCTAATCTATCTATTTGAAAGGACAATACGCCTACACTTTGTAGACTAATCAATAATTTTTATTGCGACAATTCGTTCGCACCGCAAAAATCGCGAATGGATCGTTAAGAAAACATAAATTAGTAAACAGTGGCAGCTTCCAGTCTTTGAAATTGCGAGAAAACGCCAATTACAATATTAACGCTCACGTTTGAATTTATTAGATCGGTTTACCAGGCGGAAGTGGAGAAGATGATTTGGACGTCGAGCGATAGTTTAATAAAATGCAAAAATTCGAACCATCCAATAACGGTTTTGTGTGCGACTGCATCATTTCGATGCCGTAAGTTACAATACGACAATTAAAATTTAGTGATCCTAACAGGACACATTTTTTGTTACTAAAATCTATATTGCACCAATAAATAAACAGTAAGGTCCACGCGGAAACTAAAATTGACTGGGTGTAACCTAATTCGTTTTGCGTTTACGTAAGTGGGGTTTCTATTTAGGCACCATAGAAGAATAGAAAATTTACAT